TTCATAGGCTTGTGTCCTGGCTGTGTTTTTTCCTCCTGTGTAATGTAGGTTCTGTTTGGCATTTTCCTCCAAAACAGGCCTGTTTCGTCACAAACACTTGTTGGAGGTTTTAATTTTTCAGCATCTGTGTATTCCTTGAATTCCTGTACATATTTTTCAGCCACTTTTTGGTCACAACTGGCAGCCTCACCATGCCTCATCACACTGTATGCCACTACGATTCTTCAATCCCTCAAACCAACCTTTGCTGGCCTTAAATTCACCATCACCACTAGTTGCAGGCACTTTTTTAATTAAATGGTCATGCAACTGCCTTGCCTTTTCACATATTATTGACTGAGAAACACTATCTCCTGATAACAGTTTTTCATTTATCCACACCAACAACAGTCTCTCTACATCTTCGAGTATTTGCGATCTGTTTTGAAAACATACTTGCACCTTTCGCAACAACAGCTTCCTTGATTGCCTTTGTTGGCCAAGATAATAGCGATGGTCGATTGGGGGTTTGTTATACAACCTTGCCAGCTCGGAGGCACGCACTCCACTTTCATACTTTGTGATTATCTCTTTTTCAATTCCATAATAATTCTCACCCTTTTTATCACAGGGTTGGCACTAGAAGCTTTCTTGGGGCCCATGGTGGCTTATTTAGCAGTTACAAGCACTAAAAACACTGGAATACAATATGTATCGCAGATACATGTGGAACCGCCTGCACTGGGTTGTAAACAATGGCACACTAGCTAAAGGTGCGCTCAGGCTGGACGGACAGGCAGATGCGTTCAGGATGAACGTCCGTACCCGAGTTTTTCATCATTGGTTGAGCCAATATTTTTATGCAAAAACGCATCATTGCCCAATTTTATCGTTAGTCGATGCCATCATTGGTTGAGGGTTCACTGTAATGCATAGTAAGCATGACTGGCAAGTAATATATATTTACACTTGCTCAGGACTCAAACGTGACGAATGCATCGTGTGTATGTAATACCTGTTGGTTCAGGAGTGGCTCTCTGAGACAGACAAGCAGACAAAGACATAAGCAGAGAGAGATAAACAGAGAGCTAGACAGAGCTAGACACAGACACGTTTGTGTGTAACAGTGAAAACAAATACAGCGGAACCCTGGAAACCGTAGTCTTCAGATATCGTAATAGTAATGGGCAATTTCAACTTTTTTTCGCCAAAATATTGGCTCTGTAATAGTCGTTCATCCCAAAGGCGTAGAAGCGGTCCCACACACCATCTCATGCCATTCACAGTCAGTCTGCCATTGTTGATCAGCGAGTGACCATCACTACGCATTCGTATGATGCATTTCATAATATTCCATTCTTTTTTTGTACTTGCAACTGCTAAATAAGCCACCATGGGCCAAAGAAAGCTAATGCCAGCCCTTTGGTAAAGGTGAGAAACACTATAAAATTCAAGAAAGACATGGCAAAATGTGAAAATGAAGTACGTGTGGCAGAGCTTGCCAGGTTTTATAAGGAACCCATACAACCATTGCTTTCATCGTGGCCAAGAAAAAGGAAATCAAGGAAGCTGTTGTTGCAAAAGGTGCAAATATGCTCACCAAACAGATCGCAAATACTTGATGTGGAGACTGTCGTCAGTGTGAATCGATGAAAAACAGTTAGCAGTCGATAATTTGTGGAAGGGGGCAAGGCAGTTACATGATGATCTCTTAAAGAAAATGCCTGGAACTAGTGTTGATGTTAGTTTAAGGCCAGCAAAGGCTGGTTTGAAAGATTTAAGAAGTGTAGTGGCAAAGTGTGGTAAGGCATGGCGAGGCTGCAAGTTCTGACAAATATGTGGCTGAAAAATATGCTTAGTAATTCAAGGGGTACAGAGGCTGAACAATTCAAAACCCCAACAAGTGTTCAATTGTGACAAAACAGGCCTCTTTAGAAAGGAAATGTCAGAGGACCTATATCATGCAGGATGTAAAGGCACTCCCAGGACACAAGCCTATGAAAAACAAGCTAATTCTCAGGTTCAGTAGTAATGCTAGTGGGGATTTCAAATTAAAGCCTTTACTGGTGTAACACTGAAAATCCCAGTGTTAAAGAAAAAAACAGTTGCCAAGAGTAAATTGTGTGATGTGGAAGGCAAACAGTAATGCATAGGTCATGTGGGAAATTTTCCTTGGTTTGTTCAATGAAGTGTTTGGCCTGAGTGTGAAGAAATACCTCCTGGAAAATAAATTGGAACTCAAGTGCCTCCTGGTAATGGACAATGCTCCTCCTCTTCCTCCAAACTTGGATGAGCAAATTGTGGAGGAGTTTTGTTTCATCACAGTGAAGTTCTTGCTCCCTAATACCACTCCTCTCATCCAGCCCATGGACCAGCAGATCATTTCAAACTTACAAAAATTCTACACCAAAGCAATGTTTCAAAGGTGCTTTGACAGCCTCTGACACTGAATTGACCTTAAGAGTTCTGGAAAGATCACTTTAGTATCCTCCACTGCATAAATCTTACAGGCAAGGCTTGGAAGGGAGTGACTTCCAGGACTTTGAACTCTGCTTGGAGAAAACTGGCCAGAATGTGTCCAAGAAAGGGATTTTGAAGAGTCTGGGGCTGACCCTGACAAGCCTATGGCAGTTGTGGAAAGTATTGTGGCATAGGGGAATTCCATGGGGTTGGATGTGAGTGGCAAGGATGTAGAAGAGTTGGTGGAGGACCACAATGAAGAGCTAACCACTGAAGAGCTGCAAGGCCTTCATCTGCAACAGCAACAGACCACAGCTCAGGAAATTGCTTCAGAGGAGGAAGAGAATGAAGGAGACTTCTTCAAAGATTACAGACATTTGTGTAAAGTGGAGTGAGGTGCAAACATTTATGAACATCACCCTGACAAAGCTGTTGCAGGCCACGTTGGCAACATGTGCAATGACAATGCCTTGTCCTATTTTATGGAAATTTTAAAGTAACACCAGAAACAGCGCTCTGAAACAATTTTTTGGGGTACAGGGGCCTAGTGACTCAAGACAGTCCTAGTAGCATTAAAAAAACAAAGGGAAGTAACCCCAGAAAAGAACTTGGTAACTGAAGTCTTTATTTAAGGGGATTCCCCTTCCAAACAATAACTCCTCCATCCTCTCCCCTCCTCCCATCTTCCATACATCAACAAGTCTTCAATAAAGGTGTCATATTATTGTTTTATTCTTCATGTCTGTTTTCTGTGTAGGTAAACGTATATTTCATGTAAAAAATTATTTATTTTTAATACTTTTGGGAGTCAAACATTAATTGGATTTACATTACTTCTCATGTGGAAAATTAATTCGGATATCGTCAAATTCAGCTTTAGTCACACTGGAACGGATTAATTACGATAACCAGGGGTCCACTGTAAAGCCAAGGCAGTGCACGCTCATCAAATGTCACCACTGCTGCACTGTCAGCAGTGGAGGGACACTTTTTACACACTGCTACAAGGAGTTTTATATATACTACTCCAATGTGTAACACACTGCTGGAACCTATAAATATTTTGTATATACGTGTTTCTAGACAATAGTAGGTGACCAAGGCAAGTGAAAATGTTCACCTGTCAGTGTTTGTGTGACTATTTCAATACATAATATTAGTGTCAGAAAGATTAACTATAAAATCACAAGAACTACTACAAATTTTAATTATCAGAGCATAAAAATTATACAAATAAAAAGAAAAAGTATATCGGCAACACTTCTGCAAGCAGCAGTGCTTCATGTTGCCATCAGGCGAGTGACAGGCACCAACTTTGCGGCCTTATATTTCCGTAAGTACTGACTAAAATTTTTTTTAATTACTTTACATATATAAAAAAGTCCTATATAAAAAAAACAAATATTTGGTGCGCTGGGAGAGAGAACGTAGATCTATGTTTGTACAGTTAAGGGTTAAGAGTCTTAAGCATAGAAAAAATCATTAAAGTTTGAAAAAATCTAATTATACAAAATAATGCACAGTTTAACAGAGGAAAAAAAAAAAAACATACCGAGACAGACTATAAGGCAAGGGTCTTTGTTAGGTGTACACAGATGACACTGGAGGACATTATAGATAGGGGAGGATAGTCTGGGAAGTGATGTAGTGGAGGCAGGATCCATACACAGCTTTAAGAAGAGGTATGATAAAGCTCATGGAGCAGGAAGAGTGACCCAGTAGTGACCAGTGAAGAGGCAGGGCCAGGAGCTATGACTGTACTCCTGCAACCACAACTAAGCAAGTACAAACAGGAAGTGGGGAAAATTGAACCGTGTGAAAAAATGGCACAGAATGTGAAAATTGGCATGGCTGTGTTTGTTCAGCACCCGATCATGTGTTCATGACCAGATGCAAAAATTTGGTGAATTTTTTGGTTGTGAACTGATTTGTTTGTGTTTGGAAGAGTTAGTGACCAGAAGTTCCACTGTAGAGCATCAGGTGGTCAACCTGGAGATCTACCTGATGATCCAATCCTGCATGTGTGGTGCAGATCATTTCAATACTGCAACTGGTGGGAACACAAGGAGAGCAACAGATAGGGAGCCCCTTTATAATTCCCTGGAGCAAAATTAAACAAATGGGAAACAAATCAATGTTATTTAAGTCAAATTAGGAGTACGAGTGGTGGTTTCTAAGTCATGCTAAGCCATTCAAACTGCACCACTACAGTACTGGCATAAATGTTTTCAAGAAAGGCAACTTTCACAACTTTGTTTGTCATAGTAGCTTCATGATCTACTGAATAATCACCTTACTATGAAGTCCTAACACAGTGTATAACTGTCAAAGGTTAACTTAAAATATCCCTCAATGTCTACAGTGAGTTTACATAAAGTACTTCTCATTGATACATTTGTATGTGGACATGTTTTTAATATTTTACAGGAATGGAATGAGTGGACATTCCAATAATGGAACATTCATATTCCTACAGTTTAATATCTTATAAAAACTGGGAAGTGAACATTCCAATCCTAGAACATCCATATTCCTCTTTTAAAGAAAATGAAATGACTGACCTTAAATTCTGCAGGTTTCTTTTTCAACTTTGGGATTAGTTTCACACTGTAGGCATTTTTTTCAGAGTCAAAACCCAAAGCAAAATCCTTGAAAACTTCATTGTGGGCTTTTATCATCTCCAGAAATATGTTCCTGAAAGAAAAAATAAATATCAGGACATATGTGGATGCACTATACAAAAAGAAAATGAAAATAAAATATAATACAAAGTCATGAGCATGACTGCTAGAAGTTTGATTAACTCCATTTATGTGGGGGCACAGCCTGTAGGCCTGCTTGGGGCATGGCCGCACCATAAGTTTGTATGGATAAGCGAGCACCATACCTTTACCAGATGAACCTGGCCATGGGCCAGGCTTGCCTGGTGCCTGTCTAGCCAACCAGGCTGTTGCTGTTGACCTGCAGACTCGCATCCATCACAGCATTCTGATCTGGCACCTACCTGGAGGCCATTCCGGGGATCAATGCCCACGCGGCCCAGTCCATGACCAGGTCTCCCGGTGGATCAGGGCTTGAACCAGGCTGTTACTGCTGGCTGCATGCAGCCCAACGTACAAACCACAGCCCAACTGATCTGGCACTGACTTTAGGTATCTGTTCAGCTCCCTCTTGACGGGTCTATTGGTAATTCCCCTACGGCTGGTGGGAGGCTGTTGAACAGTCATGGGCCCCAGACACAGTGTTTTCCCTTACTGTACTAATGGCACCCGTACTTTTCATTAGGCGTATGTTGCATCGCCAAGTCTTTTGCTTTCATACCTTTGAAGAATTTTGAGATTATATCTACTCTCTGAGCCCGGTCATGGGCCAGGCTCGTCTGGTGCTTGTCTGGTCAACCAGGCTGTTGCTGCTGGATGCCCGCTGCCTCACATATTCATCACAGCCTGGTTGATCTGGCACCTGGTGAAGATACTTGTCTAGTTTCCTCTTGAAGGCTTCTACACTTGTTTCAGCAGTGTTTGATATCTTCTGGTAAGATGTTGAAAAGTCTGGGACCCCGGATGTTGACAGTGTTCCCTTATTGTCCCCACCACACCCCTGCTCCTCACTGGGTTTATTTTACACTTCCTCCCATATCTCTCACTCCAGTATGTTATGGCAGTGTGCAGATTTGGGACCAAGCCCTTGAGTACCTTCCAGGTATATATATTATCATGTACCTCTCTCTCCTCCGATCCAATGAGTACATGTTCAAGACTTGCAGGTGTTCCCAGTAGTTTAGGTGCTTTACTGGCTCAATGTGAGCCATAAATGATCTCTGTATTTGCTCCAGCTCCGATATTTCTCCTGCCTTGAACGGGGCCGTCAGCACTGAGCAATATTCTAAGTGAGGGAGCACTAGCGATTTGAAGAGTCACCATTGGCATTATTTTCCTTGTTTTGAAAGTTCTCAATACCCACCCAGTCATCTTCCTGGCTGTCGTGATCTGTCTTGTTATGGTCTTTAAAAGAAAGGTCCGCTGACAATTATTCCTAGGTCTTCTACGTGTTCCTTACGTTCGATTTGGTGACCCTCTTGAGATTTGTTTATAGTGCTCCTTTTGAGTTCATTCTTTCCATACCTAACGTCATTTTTTCCACTGCCCACTGGAAAACACTGTTTATGTCTTCCTGTACTTTTTCAGTGTCCTCTACCGTACTGACTTGCATGCTTAATTTAGTGTCATCTGCAAATGATGATACAAAAGTGTGCCGGGGGTTTTTGCCTATGTCTGCTGTGAGGATGAGAAACAGCAGAGGTGCCAGGACAGTGCCTTGGGGCACTGAGCTTTTGACCTGGCTGATGCTGGATCTTGCACTGTTCACTACTACTTTTTGTGTTCTATGTGTTAGGAAGCTGAAAATCCATCTCCCTACCTTCCCCGTAACGCCCATGGCCTTCATTTTGTACGCAATCACTCCATCTGTGTAAATCGCATCTGCGTTTTGGTCGTCTTCCAGTGCCTCCGTAATTCTGTCATAATGGTTCAGCATCTGTGACAGACATGATCGTCCTGTTCTAAAACCATGCTGGTTCGGGTTATGTTGGTTGTGCTGGTCCATGAAATTTGTAACCTGCAGTCTCATCATTCTTTCGAAGATTTTTATTATGCGAGAGGTTAGGGCTACTGGTCTAATTTTTAGCTAGTGCTCTACTACCTCCCTTGTGCAAAGGAGCTATGTCTGCACTCTTTAAGGCCTCCGGTATTTCACGTAGATCTAAGCTCTTTCTCCAAAGAGTGATTTCTGCATGCAGATTAGGGACCTGTCCCTCTAGCATTTTTCACGTGTAGATTATGATGAATCTCTCGCCCGCACTCCAGAGTGCAAGTCAAGTGCTTCCAAGCATTCCCAGTACTTAAAGTGTTTGATGGCACTTATGTGCAGAAAAGGTTCTCTGTACGTTCTCTAGATCTGCAATTTCACCTGCCTTGAATGGAGATGTTAATGTACAGCAGTAATCCAGCCTAGAGAGAACAAGCAATTTAACCCTATCAGCATCCGTCCCATAGATCTACGGCTCTGAAGCCAGGGTCCAAGCTGTAAATCTATGCCATTAGCTCAGCTCACTCGGATAACCTGTGAGTGGTAAATTTGGACCTAGATATGAGAGTACATCTACGTGGTAAGTGTGCACCACATAAAAAATCCTGCAACACGCAGGGCATGAGGGAAAAAAAACCCGATTGTAATTTTGGATTAAAACAGCGACTTTGTGGTGCTTTGTGTTATTTACAGTTGCATTTGCGATTTCTTGGTCTCATTTGACAGAATGGAAGATATATTACGGAAAGAGAATTTGATTGGTTTTAGTACTGAAAATGGATTGACACTGAGCTCAAAGTAGCGGAAGTTTTAAATTTTTGCCGATATTCAAAAGCAAACAAAGTGACGTCATGCATCTAATACGAATCAGCTGGTGGGTCTAATACACGTTCATGAATGTGCAGATATTACACAATTGTTACAACATTGCGTAAGAGTAAATAGTTTTTTGGCTCAAATAAAAACTCATTATGCGAATAAAAAAAATCAAAATGGAATTAATTTGTAAAGAATGAAAACATAACTAATGAACAGAGGAAATGTTAGTTTAGTGCCAGGAATGCCTGCATTGTTTATTCTGGACCCTATTTTGAAATTGGAATATTTTGAACTGTGTTAAATTGGCCAAATTACCAACTTTCGATCACTTTATTGGGTAGTTGAAACAGTTGACTGGGCAATTTCTTGTGCTCAATCGATAAAACAGAAGTAATACTACTGAAATAGCTAAGAATTTGGTTGACTGGAATATTGTACAGTAGAGCCCCACTTATACGGCAGGTTAGGTTCCAGGCTACTGCTGTAAAGCCGAAATTGCGGTAAAGTGGAACACCCTTTTTTTTCCCCCTTTATAAATGCATAGAAATACTAGATAAGTTTACAATAACATATTAGGTTAGCAATAGAACTAGGCATTAAAAAAAAATAAAAAAGTAAAATACACATAGTACACTCATTACTTAATCTAGGGCGAGATTAAACCATACCACGGGCGGGATTGAACCTGCGGTCAGTCTCAAAATTCCAGACCGTCGCGGGTTCAATCCCGCCCATGGTATGGTTTGTTTGCAATCGTGTCATTACGATTTCGTGAGTTAGGGTGAGATTAGTACTAAATGGACCCTCGACCAACGATATTAATCCGTTCCTGAGAGCTCATCGTTAATCGAAATTATCATCAGTCAAGCTAATTTTCCCCATAAGAAATAATGGAAAGCAAATTAATCCATTCCTGACATCCCAAAGTATTGAAAAAAAAAAAATTTTTACCACTTGAAATATTAATTTTAATACACACAAACCGAAGAAGACATGCACAGTTATATGACACTTACCTTTATTGAAGATCTGGTGATGATTGATGGGATGGGAGGAGGGGAGCGTGTTGATGGTGTTAGTGTTTAGAAGGGGAATCCCCTTCCATTAGGACTTGAGGTGGCAAGTCCTTTTCCAGGGTTACTTCCCTTCTTTTAATGCCACTAGGACCAGCTTGAGTTACTGGACCTCTGTCGCACAACATATCTGTCCATAGAGGCCTGTACCTCCCGTTCCTTTATGACATTCCTAAAGTGTTTCACAACATTGTCAGTGTACAGGTTGCCAACACGGCTTGCAGTAGCTGTGTCAAGGTGATTTTCATCAAAAAAGGTTTGCACTTTAAGCCACATTGCACACATTTCCTTAATCTTTGAAGTAGGCAACTTCTTCAATTTCTCTCCCCTCCTCCAAACCAGTTTCCTCAGGTGTTGCCTCTTGCTGTTGAAGATGATCTAGCAGCTCATCAGTGATTAGTTCTTCATTGTCCTCCTCCACCAACTCTTCCACATCCTCCCACTAACCTCCAACCCCAAGGACTTCCCAATGCCACAATGGATTCCTCAACTGGCATAGGATTCTCAGGATTAGCCTCAAACCCTTCAAAATCCCTTTTGTCTACATATTCTGGCCACAGTTTCTTCCAAGCAGAGTTCAATGTCCTCTTAGTCACTTCCTCCCAAGCCTTACCTATAATGTTTACACAATTGAGGATGCTAAAGTGATCTCTCCAAAACTCTCTTAGAGTCAACCGAGTTTCTGAGGTCACTACAAAGCACCTTTCAAACATAGCTTTTGTGTACAGTTTCTTGAAGTTTGCAATGACCTGCTGGTCCATGGGCTGCAGGAGAGGAGTGGTATTAGGAGGCAAAAACTTGACCTTAATGAAGCTAATGTCCACAGAAAGTTGCTCTGCCAAGTCTGAAGGATGACCAGGAGCATTGTCTAATACCAGGAGGCACTTAAGGTCCAATTTATTTTCCAGGAGGTAATTTTTCAGAGTGGGGGCAAATGCATGGTGCAACCAGTCATAGAAAAAGTCCCTAGTGACCCATACCTTACTGTTTGCCCTCCACAGCACACACAAATTAGCCTTGAGGACATTGTTTTTCCTGAACACACTGGGGGTTACAGAGTGATACACCAATAAAGGCTTCACATTGCAATCACCACTAGCATTGGCACACATCAACAGAGTAATCGTCTTCATATGGCTTTGTCCTGGGAGTGACTTTTTCCCCTCAGAACGTAGTCCCTTGGCATTTTCTTCCAAAACAGGCCTGTTTCTC